TTTCTTTATTTTCATTTCAAATAAAACCCAAAGAAATACAGAATCGCTTGTAAGAGAATTTATGTGCAGCTAGATTTAAAAAATAATTGTTTTCTTGACTTCACTACTGCAAAGATGATAGAAATGTTCAAAACTGATGTTGTGGAAGATGGGGATGCTGTTTTCTATTGGCAACATCTTTTTGCCCCACTTTTCTCATTTGAAGTTCAGAATGACTCAAAATTTAATAATGCTTGCCATGCAGTTTAGGAGCTTGGATGTTGGAATGAGCCATAGTTGGGGCTTTGGGGAATGATTCCCTTGGCCTCCCAAATACGCAGGAGGTTGGAGTAGCATGATGTCTCCCTGGGTGAATATCTCACACACCCCTTTGTGGGCTTTCAGGTCCGCTTCCTGGAGCAACAGAACAAGGTCCTCTCCACCAAGTGGGAGCTCCTCCAACAGCAAGGGCCTTCGGGGCCGAGGAAGAACCTCGATGTCATCTTTGAAAATTACATCCAGAACCTGAAGAGGAGGCTGGAGTCTCTCCTGGGCCAGAGGGGGCAGCTGGAGTCAGAGCTGCAGAACATGCAGCAATACGTGGAGGAGTACAAAACCAAGTAAGTGCAGTGACAGGCTAAGGAAGAAGGGAGCACCCGGACAGGGGAGCTAAGCCAGCTTGGAGATTTCCGCATTGGCTTCCCTCTGCAGAAATGGGACGGAGGTTGCCATGGAGGGGAGCGGGGTTGCAGCGGTTGACTGATGAGCATCCAAGAGACTCACCTTGTCTTGTCCCCTTCAACAGGTACGAAGACGAAATCAACAGGCGGACCGCTGCTGAGAACGAGTTTGTGGTGCTGAAGAAGGTGAGTCACAGAGGCACCAGGAGAGAGGGGGTGTGGGGGGCCAGGCTGCAAAGACCTTGGAAGGAGGCAGCACCAAGGTGGGCAGCTTCCAACAGGAGGCCTCGGCTGCCAAGAGCTCTTCTGGGACGGGAGGAAGCCGTTGTCTGTCTGTGTGATCTTTCCTGTAGGATGTGGACTGTGCCTACATGACTAAAGTAGAGTTGGAAGCCAAGGTGGGAGCTCTGACCGATGAAATCAACTTCCTGAGGTGCATGTACGAGGAGGTAAGAGCTCTCCCTTCCCCTGGGCTGGCTGGAGATGCAATGAGGAGTGTGGTGGCCAAAGACACGGAGGTTGGACTGGGTGCCCATGTGGAATTAGGCTTGAGAGTCACTTGGGCTGCCTGTCTTGGTTGCAGGAGCTGTCTCAGATGCAGACAATCAGCCGGGACCTGTCCGTGGTGGTGTCCCCAGGCCCCCTGCGGCAGTCTCTGCTGCTGGCTGCCTCCCTTGCCACAGGGCAAGGCAATGGCCTGAGTTCCTGGTAGGTTGTGTCGCTGATGAGTTGCTTTGTCTCCATGCTGTCAGTATGAAGAGCTACAGAACACTGCTGGAAGGCACGGGGACAGCCTGCGCAACACCAAGATAGAGATCCAAGAGTTGACCAGGAACGTCCAGAGGCTGCGGGCTGAGATTGAGAACGTGAAGAAGCAGGTAGGGGTTCCTCAGCATCTCGTTGGGTGATGGCATCAGGCTGGGTCATGACTGAGCTGGGTGGTGAGCTGAGGAGAGTGTGAGGGAAACGTAGTCATTGAAATTCAGGTCCTGTGGAGGAGATTGATGGTTTCTGCTTATTTTCCATCCAGTTTGTGCCTTGAGGACTGCTCCAGTGGAGGGTGTGCAGAAGGGAACTGAGAATCTGCTTTGCTTTTTTTCAGAACCAGCAGCTGCAGGCAGCTATTGCTGAGGCTGAGGAGCGGGGGGAGATGGCCCTCAAGGATGCCAGGAGGAAACTGGAAGAGCTGGAATGTGCCTTGAGCAAAGACAAGGAGGAGCTGGCTCGCTTGTTGAAGGAGTACCAGGAGCTGCTGAACATCAAGATTGCGCTGGACGTTGAGATTGCCATGTACAGGAAGCTGCTGGAGGGAGAGGAGAACAGGTACGTCTCTTTCTTTGACTCTTTGACTAAATTCTGGACAGATTATACCATGTGTGGGTAAAATCTTTGCCTGCACTCTAAAGATAAATTTCGTATCACTCATGCTGTAATTCTTAGCCTTAAGTATGTTTTCAATATTTCATGTAAGAATGTTAAATTCAAGTTTGCTCATTTGTTTTGAACAATAATTGGGAAATTCAGAAAGAACAGGGAATATATACTTTGTTAAAAAAGGGAAATTCTCGGCTGAAGAAACGTGCACTTCCCATAGGATTAACTGGTCCTGTTTTCCCTCACAGGCTGTGCAACGATGGCATGTCCAACGTCAATGTCTGTAAGTATCTGCATTTGTTGCCTCGTGTCTTTTTGGAGATAGAGCTTGCCCGTGGACAACATGTATGTAACCTGTGCTTCTCTTCCAGCTGTGGTAGGCAGGACCACCATCACTGGAGGCAGAGGAGGCATGGGAGGAGGCTTCGGAGGTGGCAGCGGCATGGGAGGAGGCTTCGGAGGAGGCAGCGGCTTGGGAGGAGGCTTTGGAGGAGGCAGCAGCATGGGAGGAGGCTTCGGAGGAGGCAGCGGCATGGGAGGAGGCTT